CCCCTACATCTAATGATCTGGTCTTCTGATCGTAAAAGGCCACCAGGTTGGTCTGACAGGACCTGCCACTGATGAACCCATGTTGGTTGCCCCTAAGCATGCAGTCCCCTACTGGCCCCTCCTGGATGTGTGCCAGAATAAGTTTCTCAAACAGCTTGCCTAGGATCGAGGTAAGACTAACTGGCCTATAGTTTCCCGGGTCCTCCTTCCTCCCTTTTTTGAAGATGGGAACCATAATGAGGAGAGTGATTAGGAATACTAAACTATTAAAGCAGACTAAACTATTAAAGCAGACCCCCAAGAAAATACAAGAAAGAATGAAAGCACATAGCAGCTATAGCAGACATGAAAAAGCAAAAAATAGAGATAAGGAAACAATCTAAGAAACTGTAGGAATGAAATTGCAACAGGCTAAGAAATACATATTCTTACCTATTGCTACATAAAAATAGATATAATTTTCTACTTAAAATATCTCAAGTTCCATCTTATTTTGCAGCTGCTCAGATACTTGCAGACAATAACAAATGATTTTAAAAGACCCTAGCAGCTTTAAAAAAAATGGACCTATTTTTTTCCAGATAAAAGTTAGATCTTTTGCAACTAAGAAAGGGATTCAAAGTCCTGTAGTCCTCTTGAATAGAATGAGGGAGAGAGAAAGATTTTCTGTTACGTATAAAGTATAGCCCAAACACGTGAAGCTCAGATCTTCAAATGCTGAACAAGGTTTTTCATTGGTCTTAAATCTAATTTCTTAAAAAACTTTGGCACAGAAAAGACTGGGTCATTAATTTTGACTTAACTGAAATATTGGACTCAATTCTCAGTTTTATAACTGTGAAACTCCACTGATTTCAGTCTAAGTGAACATAAGCTGGCTCATAACATTTGTAAATGAAGAAAGTATTTGAGAGAAGCTCTCCCCCTGTTTACAGTTGTATGCATAAAGAATTCAAACAGCTTGATACCAGATGTACTTGGTGAAAAACGTGTAATATGGAGGCTACAATCTCACCATACCAGTCTTCGTCTGTCCAAACGAAAACCTGTTTCCCCAAGATTTCCTCACGT